ATATGATATGATATGATATGATATGATATGATATGTGCATTAGTTGCAATTTTGTTTCCATCAAGTTCATATTTCTGAAACCACTTTTTGGTAAGAGCAAGCCGGTGCTGGTTCCTACATCACCAGTCCTCCTGAAGCACACAGTGTTCAGCCTGCATAAGATCATTATCTTCCTCAGAGATTAGTCAAAGGGCTTCCTCCTCCTTATTTACCCTCAAGCACCTGACAGACGGCACCACTCCAGCTGCAAATGTCCACAGCATACGCTCATGGCGTCCTCAACACACATCACTTTGCTTTAGATCCATTTACTGCCCACTTACCCGAACACAGAACCAGCTCTCCTTTGACTGCAGTGCGTTTGAGGTAAAATGGTCCATTGAGCTGAGACTGAAATGAACTTTAAATTTGAGCATATCTTACCTGGGTGATCACTGCCTCAATGTAAGAGCATCGCCTGCCCTCAAACTGGGCAGTAGGAAGTGATGGACGGCTTTAGTATGAAAAAATAACCCCTGCTGACATTTTGTCTCTAGATCTAGAATTCGTCATGTTGAGCACATGAGCGCTTATCCCCTTTTGCTGTCTGACCCAGTGTTATGTAATTTGGTGGTATTTTTTTCTCTCGCTGTGAACAAGGAGATGATGTCTCTCTTTTCCAGCTTCCCACCATTGAGCTAAGTAGAGCAAGAAATCCTCTCCCTGTCGTAGTCCTTTCTTCCCCATCTCTGCTTTTGACGTTTCATCAGAAACCCACTGATATCGTCCCGGGGGTCTCTGTCCCTGCTTGTGGGAGGACCAGATGGAGTTTGATGAAAAGCAACACTGCTGTTAATAATCACATCAAAAGATACAGTGAAACACTGTGCCTGTCGTTAGTGGCACGATGAATGCTAAATGATTAAAAATCTGTTATTTGTAAAGCTCGTGTTGCTCAGGTTGTGCTGCTATTCTGAGCCCATAGTCAGTATTGCTTAATATGTAGTCAGTTTATTCCCCTGTTTTTGTAAATTGGTGCATAAACTCAACCTTGCAACAGTGTTATATTAAACAAAATGTCACCGCTCAACGTCTGTAAATTCTGTTTTCTTAGCCTTCTCAACTCCAGTGCAAAATCCTAGAAACGGTGGCAGCTGTAGGACAAACAACTCTCACCACCGGTCATCTGTAGTGAGTGTAGACTGTCCGTCTGCTGTTTACCTAAGCTGTCAATATTTGTCCACGTCCATTTACTCTGGTCAAGGCAGCAAAACAACTCTTGAAACTGTCTCTGAAGTGGATCTAACACTGTGGGACTCGTACATTTAGTGAATAAACTCATACAATGACCCCAGGGTCAGACCGCCAGTGTTCAGAGAAACCCTGCAAAAATCAAAGAGCTCCATCTGGGAGTCTTCTGACCTCAGTTAGTAAATTAATGTGAAAATTTATGACAGAGATGGCATAAATACATTTCTCTGTCCATTATTGTTGTAAGTTCTTTCCGTGATGGCAGATGAGTCTGTCCTGAAAAGAGGTCACGACAGAGAGAATATTTAGCATCTGGCAACATCATCTCACTGGGCTTCTTCTTAGCGCTTGGATGAGGAGTTCAGTCATTCAGTTGCTGCTTCTCCACATCGAAAGGAGTGAGCTGTGGTGGTCACACACTTTTCAGTAACAGTTTATTAGTTTTTCAGATGTTGTTTATGATATTTTATTAGTACGTTAAGATCTTTTGTAGTAACATGTTTTCATATCAAATATAACATGTTTTTTTTTTGTTTGTTTGTTTGTTTGTTTTTAATGTTTTTCTGTTTCGTTGATCGGAGGATAATGTGTAATGTTCGTAATCCACGATGCGAGGTGATGCACATTTAAGCGGTGTGATTCATTACTGAAGAATGTGATTATTAAACAGTTCTCAAATTTAACCTGATATCTGAGTGTTTCTGAGTGCTATAATAGTTGGTTCGTCTTCTTTTCCCCCGCTTGTTTAGTCAATTAGGGAATCAGTTGGTAGCAACATTCCTAACGTAAGACATTTTAATCAAAAAGTCATTTTAAATCCCTGAGGTATGGCAGTATTTAAAATGTGGATGTTTTGTTGACATGACAGCCTGGTTGCCAAGTACCCTACTAACTACCATACCATAATGTTAATTACATGATGTTAACGTAAGCATTCATCTACCTTTCACCAAACACTTTAGCCTGTGGAGCATAGGCTATAGTCGCAACAGCAGCAAAGACGGCTGTCTCATGAAAATGTAGCGTGTATTTCAGGATTACTGTCTTTATTTAAGTCAGTGCAGACCTGCTGCAGCAGCCCCTTCTTCTTTAGCATTTAAGGATGGAGTCGAACACGTACGCTGCCACTGTCAGTTGCAGAACAATTGCATGCTCAGTACATCCACTGCCTAGAGTCACTGTGGTGAAAAAAAAGAAGCCAGGATCGTTATCTCGCTTTCTGAGAATTTTGACATTAAACTGTATTGTGTTGTATTGTATCAGTTATGGTGACATCCTACTTTCAGTTACTCCTCAGTCGACTTGTGGAACAAGTTGTGTAATACGTTATCTGTAGTGCAGTCGTGCCACTTCACTGGCACAGGCTTCACTTGGTGTTTTTAAGTGTTGATACTGGTTTTATTTTCTGCTGCAGTAGTTAATGTAGTTGTTATCAGCCTGGTCATATAGTGAAGACTCGTCTGTGGCTCTGCTGGTTTGAACTTCAGGGACTGAAGAGCTGCTGACGGAGCTGCTTTCTCCTGACTTTGTTCGGTTTCCTTCTTGTCTGAATTGGTGTCAGTGGTTTAAGCGATGTTAATAGGATATATGGTTTTAATGTTGGTTACACTGCAGACTGCTGGCTACTCCTGGCTGACCACTTGACCTTTTTAGATGGGGTTTCCAGATGCCTCTTAAACATAGACATGACAAACATCAGAGCCAGAGTCTGACCTTGTGTTATAAAACCAGCAGCTACAATCCTGCTTTATAAAGCTGTATTTCAGTTGATCTGTTCCTGCCAGTGCCTCATTGATTTCAGTGCTGCAGCCTCCCAGCTGAAGTCTAAAATGAAGCGCTCACTGTAAGAAGGGTTACTTGTGGTTTGCATAATAGACTATGAAGAGCTTATGACTGAACTAGAAACACAGGCTTGACACTGTCACACATTTCTGTGTGCAGCATGCTTGTGAAATATTTGAGCTGTGTTAGACCAAAGTAGTTTTGGTCCCTCCAATGAAACATAAGATTTTGAGGAGTATTAATTATTTGCTTCTAATTGGAAACAACGTTATACTATCAGGACTTAAAATTGCTTCTCAATTACAAAATGTTGTTGGGTAAAATGTCAGTTTGTAGCTTCTTGTTTGTCAAAAAGCTGTGAGCATTTGCTGCTCAGTATAACGGCCCCCTGCTCATCCAAGTGGGTTATATTGGCACTCCTAAAAGTCACTCAAGCTAATAATCAAGATTAGCACTGAGAGCATTTATAATGGAAAAAGGTCATTATTTTATCTTTAAAGGCAGAACAATACTGGAACCCAACAATTTTGCATTGAATAGAGAAACACAAACAAAGCTGCACATATTTCTTGAATCTTGAGTCACACGTGTTTTTGCCGCTGCTTCGCCTCTTTAGGAAACTACCACCATGTCCTGTGTGTACTCGCTTCAGTGGAGCAAGTCATAACCAACATGTGTTCTTAGAAGTTCTTTATTCTATTTCACAAGCTACATGTCTTTACATGAAGTGTTGGCCTGCGTACATCTACCAATGACACCATTCATTACCACTAAATCTATTTCAATACACCCACACAACTGTTAGTGTCATGAACTCAGAAGGCCCCCGTGGCACTCACAAGTTTATTCAGTTGTGACTTACTGGCAGGAGTTGCCCTGCTGTGTTAGGGGTAGCAGCTAGAAATCATAGGTGGACAGTTTGGGTGAGGTGAAGTCGAAGGTTTTGGAATTACACTAGAGTTGCGCCGTGCCCTTTGGCCCAC